TGTTTTTTAATATAAGTGTTAAAGTCACAATTACTTTTGACAGTCGTAATCAAATATATAAATTTTTTATAATGGTGTTCTGATTTAAACCAATTAAACCTAGCAGTTAAGAGTAAAATTTCTGAACATCAATGTGATGAAAGGAGAAATCCAACCGGAATTGCAGAATCATCAAATATTGGGCCTATAATAACCAAAAGTCCAGACGCTATTTATAAGTGTAGATCTTTAAGTGGCATGATAAATCCGCAGAATCCACAAGAAGTTTACGAAGTCAATCCCTTTCTTCAGATTTTGGTGATTTGGGTGTTTATAAATGTTAACATTTTATTTTTTTAACAATATTAATTAATCATATATTTTATTCCTAGTTAATAATCAGAAAAGCAATACATCAAATCATGGTAAATATTTATTTTTATTTATTTTGCAACATACTGATTACTAATATTTCATTTATAAGTTACTTTTCTTTTATTGTTTTAAAAGAAGGCAAACGAAATTTTGAAAATGATAAGCTCGAAAGTAATAACGGTGATATAATTTGTTGTTTTATGCGGTTTTAGAAATTCTAGCTTCGATTAAATTTATTCATTTATATGATTTTATAGATGAAGACAACAAAAAAATTAAATTATTGGAAGATGAAACTTATAAATCAAAATCATTGGATTATGATATTTAACATGGATTAATTATTTAAAAACAATACATATGTAATAATATATAACTATTTAATGATTCATTAAATTTTCTTTATATTGGCGAAGAATAGTTATATACTTTAATATTTCTATTGTTATCATTGTAAAACCATCGCAAACAATCATAAAACCTTAAATCAAATATAATCTGGGATTTCTATTTAATCTCCGGAAAAAAAAAATTAAATGAGTAATGCGACAAGCGCTCTCTCTCTTTGTTTTATTTAAAAAAAATTAAGAAAATAAAAATATTTTTTTTCCTTTAGAGAAGTATCTTGAGCTAATTTATTATTTGATGATTGCATGCAATTTTTTTTTTGAATAAAACATAAGGTATCAAAGAGGAATATTCTCGCAGAACTTTGAACGCAAATGGCGAAAATGATCGAATGTTCTTATATCTCATTATCTAATTGAATTAATAAAGGTTTAATTTTGCAAAAAAAAAAAAAATTATTATTGCGCCACAAATCTTTTAACGAACATATACATCCACAATATTGTATTTGGTCTCGCAATTGTCTATCAATATAAATTTTTTTCCTGTTTGGGCTCTTTAAATTCGTTCCTAAATTAACCGACAATGTCCAATATGTTTCCAAATCACATCAACTATGTAGAGAAGATCTTGATTTTAGCCAAAGTTCAGTTTTTTAGTAAATGAACGTTAACAGATAATATACTTTTGTTGATTGGAAGATCAAATCGAGCTTAAGAAATTTTATTTAGTTTTTACTGATAATCTTTATTGAATTGGTTATAACTTAGATGATAGTAAAACAATAGAAAAAACTAGGGATGCTAATGGTCACGGTCATGACCGGTCATAACCGTGACCGATATCGGTCGGTCAAAGGCTTGTGACTCATCGTTAATAAAAAAAAAAATGCTTTGAAGAATTCAATCTTTTTATTGAAAATATTTATTCTGGAATTCGTTCGATTTAAAAGAAAGAAAAAAAAATGAAAATAAATGATATTGTAATATTCATGTTAGTGTGTATAGTGCTCCGTAAGGGTCGGGTCGGGTCGGGTTTGAAGCATATTCGAACTCGAGCCCGTTAATAATTACAGAACCCGAGATTCGACTCGAATTTCAAGGGTAATATTAACTCCTAAATTAAAAGGCGTCGTATATAGTTTATTTTACAGTATTTTAAAATTGTTTATTATATTATTTTTTTGTTGACATTAATTTCTATTTTTTTTTACATATTTTTTCCATGGATTTTTATCAGGGTGATGACGTTCTAAGTGACGCCAAAGATTTGTTGTATTTAAATCACCAATTTTGCGAAGCCATGTTTTATTACTTCTAAAATATTTTAAATAAAAAAGATATAAGAAACCTACATAATATACTATGTTTTCTTTTTTAAAAAATGTAAAAGAATACATACGAGCAATTAAGACAACGAACTTCGCGATGAGTACTTGAAAACTTATGTTCCGGCGGAAGAACTTTCTCTTCAAAAAGTTCTTTGACAAAAAGTTCACTCCGCAATCGTTTTTTAGAACTTTTGGTAACGTTTATATTGGTAATGTCTATAGTTTCACTCATTAAATTATTATTTGTTTACAAATCCAAGTCGCGTAACGTAAATTAGTCTAGCGCGTAATTTATGATCCGGGTCACCCGGGTCAAGGAAAAACGTGACCCTGACCCGACGGGTTTTATCTATTTAGGACTCGTGTCATAAAAATGATAAACCCGACTCGAGAAAAAATTCGAGTCGGGTCGAACAACCCGGGTCGACTCGACCGGCTCGGAGCACTAAGTGGTGTATGAGAAAAGGATGGACAATATTCTAATATTGCTTGGATTTTTGAAATTACTGAACATACTGCATCAGTTGCAAAAATTAGGTTCTTTAATTAAACCAATATAAACATTACAACAAATAAATGCGGGCTCTGATGATGATTTGTTTCTCCAACTTCAAAAGAATTTTTTTTTTAATGAATTTGTTGTTTGTAAAATCACGTGATGTGAATTTCTTTGGCGTAATTTAATTGTTATTTCAATGGTGTTAAGCCTACATATCCTACAAAAGTTGACATATTTTGGCCTAAAAATCATATTGGCATATTTTTTCCCTTTCTATTGCAAAGGTTCCATATACTTATTTTACGTTTTTTGCAAAAATTAAAGACGTCGTTGAAATAAAGTCACCATCGTCACCCGCTTGTCTCATATATTTGTCACATGTGTCACGTCCTCATGTTTTTCATGTTGAAAGACCTCTTGAAATGACCTCAAATGACATCATCATTTATTATTTATAAATTTCGTCATTAAAAATTTTAGGTAAAACTATTTTTCAAGTTCTTTGTCCCAAAGAAAAAGTATGTATGTTATGTGATTTAAAGAATAAAGTTATAACTTTAAAAATTGTTTTATTTAATTATTTTTTTATTTATATAGATCATTATTAGAAAAAGAAATTGAGAGAACTTTTAGTACATTGTTCTACATATATATTTTCAATATTACCTTCAACTGCGCCTTGTATTTACGTTTGAATTCCTCGTTTCCAAATATTCGTGAGCATGACTCGAGAATTTTTGCTTGAAATTATTTTTAAATTATACATACCATTTGAAAACATGAACAATAAAGTATTCCTTTGTTCTAAGAAATAACCAAATATTGCTTTAAATTAAAGACAGAAAAAAAAATTCTTTTCGAGGGAGGGAGTAGCTAATCCGAAATTTCGATTATATCACATAACAACGTTACACGATTAATAAATTTGACAGAATGGACATCTAGTCATTGTAAAAATTTTCACATTCTTTTTAATGTATAACAAGTTAATTAACAGGATGATACAAACAGTGTTTTCCAAATTTAACCAATTAGGGTTTCCCCTTCCCTTATTATTTTTTTTTTTTTCACACACTCACACAAAAAAAACAATTACGCGCAGTATGGTTGAATTCCAAACTGTACTTTTCAGATTCCACATTCTGTAGAGAAAGATCATTAGATTTATAAAACAAGAAGTTACTTTAAATATGAACAAGATTACATTATTTGCATTTCATTATATTTATTTAATGCATTGATATGTCCCTTCACAATAAATGCTGGCAGCAAAACTGCGAGTTGTTTTTTTTTCTTACGCTATCTTAAAATAGACAGATATGCATAATGTTTGGGCTGGTAACAAATAATTGCTTTAATGATGCTGATTATTTTTTTTATATAAATACCACACTGAATTTGATGCTGTCTTCATCCTACAATCCCTACAATTCCTACAATTCAAAATCAATTCGAATTAGTCGAAATTTAACATCTAGTACTTATTCCTTTTCAATCATCAACGAAAAACAACGAGAATATTTAAAGGAAACGCTTTTATAAAATTTGAGTTTCCACAAGAAAATAATTTGTTTCGCAACTTAAAATATTCCCAATAAACATGTTAGATGTTATTATAGAAACTCCACAAATGGGAAAAATGGGTCGTCGTCCTAATGGTTTTATTATATTTCATTTTGAGTTATGGAAAGAGTATAAAAAAGCTTTTCCAAATGCAAAGCCGCGTAAATTTTCTGTCTTTGCTGGAGAGCTATGGAAAAAATTATCCGTTGCTGAGAAAAACAAATATATCATGTTATCCGAAGAGAAAAAGAGAAAAGAATGCAACTCGAAAAATGATTTACAAAAGAAAAAAGTTAAGCGCACCAAATAAATATTGACGGAGATCAACCGTTGTATGTATAATATTTGTTAGTTTTATTTATTTATTTATTCTGAGTAATGGTAACAAACAAATTATCAAATGGTACTTTTATTATATATAATAAATCGAAGCATAATAAGCATAATAATAATCGAATAAATAAATACTGTACATGATGAGATTATTTATTGATTTTTTATTATTATTTTTTTTTCGAATAAACAGGAAATAATACCGCAGATTAAAAAAAAAAAAACATAAAGGAATTTTGAACGTTCAAACTTTTTAAGAAAAAGGGTTAAAAATAAACTTTTTTGTATTAATGGATTTATTTGAATAAAATTACAGATAGTTTGTGAAGCAATTTATTTTTTTTTTTTTGAACTAATCTGTGTAGGAACAAAACGATAAACGCTTGCATCAAAATTTTAGATGTTTTTATAAAAGAAAGAAAAATTGGCGATTAGTCTGGGTACTTGCGTTTCCACGAACTTTTTTTTTAAAAAAAGCACGGAATTAATACTCCAGACACATACGAAATAATATTATTCAACATTCATCCTTTTCTTTACAACTTATTTTAGGAATTTGCAATTAAATCTCTTAATTTCATATAATTAAAGTTAACCCTGCTTGCTGCGTTTAATAATTGTATACTGTATCATGTTAATCCATACTAAAGATCATATCCAATGCTCTTGTTCTATAAGATTCATCTTCCAATAATTTAATTTTTTTATTGCCTTCATCTATAAAATCATTTAATTGACATTTAATTGAGGATAGATTTTCTGGAAACGAATATAACAACAAAGAATTATATCATACCGTTATTATTTTCAATATGATCACTTTCAAATTTTCGTTTACCTTTTTAAAAGATTAATTAATAATGTTCTTAAAACAATGATTTAAAGATCTATAAAACAAATAATTACCAAAATCTGAAGAAATGGATTGACTTCGTATACTTCTTGTGGATTCTGCGGATTTCATCATGCTACTTAAAGATCTACTCTTATAAATAGCGCCTGGATTGTTTGTAGTTATAGGTCCAATTTCTGATGATTCTATAATTACAGTTGGATTACTATCTTCAAGTCTTTTAATGTTCCCAATTATATTATTAATAACCCTGATTAATGGCCTTTTACTTGGATCAGGGTTCCAGCATTCTTTCATTATTTCAATATAACCTTTAGGTGCGTTTATATTACCAATTGGAGGACGTAACCCATCACAAATATCAACTATCAGCTCAGTATCATGAGCACGATCCCAAAAGGTCTTCTACCTGTCATCAACTCCCACATAATCATACCAAAACTATAAATATCTGAAGCTGCGGTATATTTTTGTCCTTGAAGATTCTCTGGGGCCATATATGGAATAATTCCATAGGTTTCATTATATCCAGCTTCAGTAGCAGATTTGCTTAATCCTAAATCACCTATTTTAATTTGATTGTAATTATCTGACGTTTCATTTACCAAAATATTTCCACTATGTAAATCACGGTGGATAATACCCTTTTCATGAATATTTGATAGACCATATGCAATTTTGCATAAATGATTTAACTTATTGTACCAACTAAGTTTATAAAATTTTTCATCTATATGACGAATAAAATCTCCTGCATTACAATAATTCATAATTATCATAAAATCTTTGGTAATAAGATCTTGCGTAATTCCATAATACTCAATGATTCTACTATTGAATGCTCTCAATTTATAAGATATTTTAATCTGAAAAAAGATTATTAACTTATTGCATTAAGATAATTGTAATAAATAAATAAAAACAAGTGAATATATACCTTATTTAACTCCTTAGAAGTAAAGTTTTTAGAATTGTTAAGTTTCTTAAGAGCAACTTGTTTATAAGCTTCTCGATCATATTTTTTTTCATAATTATTCCAATTTCTTCGTGAATTTCTAATTGGACCATCAATCCAAATAGCTTTATAAACTTTACTAAATCCTCCCTCACCAATAAGTTCTACATCTTTGAGACTATCATATGGAACAATCTCCATTTTGTGTTCGTTGAGATTAATTTGTGTATATTTGATGAAATCGTCAATAACTTTATTTCCACTTCCAATTGGACTAAAGGTTTCTTTTGCTCTAAAACAGCAGCGGCAAATTCTATGATTTTCTTCAAAAGGCTTTCTTCTTTTTTTGCATTCAATGCATTTCTCAAATTTATGTTTAGGCTTTAATTTAGCCACGGGTTGTATTTGCTGACTTGATGTGTCATTATATACTAAAAATTCAATTTTATGTTTAAAGTTGATTAAGTGATATTGATTCATGATTATTATGAAAGGTTCGTTTCAGGCATTCAAGAACCACAGATATTTATAATTTATGTTCTTTAAGATGTCGCAAATTCTCAAAGGAAGTTTGCGAATTCAAAAAAGAATTCTCCAAAAGAACAGATTATTTCTGGCAATGATCTTCTGAATTTTAATGTCACAGAAAGTTAATTGAACTGAAAGGAAAATTTCTAGCGAAAAAATAGAAGTTTAATTGTTTGCTTACTAAATTGATTGATTTCCATTGTTGTAATAAATAAATATTCAATCTATTTATTATACAATGCACTTTGCAAGATAATGATAAAATTATTAAAATAAAAATTTATATAAAGTTATTTTAAACTTATATTCTAATTAACAAGTTACATCTTGAAAAAAAAAAATAGTTGATCTTATCCATAATAAGTTGTGATTAAAAATATCATGCCAGTCGAAAAAAATTTATTTACTTGAAGAAAAAAAATGTGCAGTAAATATAAAGTTTGTTGTATATATGTATCAAAACTTTAGCAATATTTATTGAATTAAAAGTTTTCAAGCAAGAAAGAGTAGAAAGGAGTTTACAATAAAAAATATATCTAAAAACTCGAGATATAGAAAGACAACGAACGTATTGGGAGAAGGAATAGAATATAAGTGATGAATATGTAAAAATTGTTAAAAAGCGAAATTTATGACGATAACTTTTATTGACCCATTTACGAGACAAATTGAATAGTTTGCGTGATGATGAAACTTTGTTCACTAATTTAAAGAATATTAGAAAGGTATTGGATTTCTTTAAGGCTGCCTTAAATTTATAACAGGAATATTGTCGAAGTTACTACTGTTTTAAATATCAAGAGTATTGATATAAATAAAAAAGGAAATCTAATTTCGCAACCAAAGAAATAAAAGCGGTGGAGTGTACTAAAAGGTAATTAACAGAAATGTTACTTAGCTAATAGCACAACTTCTTTTAATTATTACACAAAAAGTCTCTACAAACTCAAGAATAATCGTAAACATGTTTATAATCCAAGCTGTTTTATTGGGTCTTGTCTAATAGTTATATATATTAAAATTTACATTTTTATACTTTTTTTATATTAATGAAAAGCTTTTATAAAGTATTTAAAATTACATATATTGTATATTTTAATGCTATATATTTATGAAAAAATGATAAGTTAAAATTAACAATTCGTATATACCGAGTTTAAATATTGAAAACTTTCAAAAATCTCAGTGATATAGAGAGCAAAATTTTCAACAAGAAAATAAATCAGTACTGACGAATTATCGACCCAGAAAATTATTACCAACAATATTTCTGACGAGACCTTTTCAAAATCTGAAGAAATTGTTATTGCGGTAAGAAACGAAGCCAAGTTTTGAAAGCCAAAATATTTATTTTTTCTATAAACTTGATAATGTTTAGATGTTATAAGAAAATGATAATAATTCTATTAGTTCTGTTAATAGTTTATGAATAATAACTATGAGTAAGAAAAGATGTTAAAAATTCAAACAATTTATTTGAATGTTTCTTAAGTCAAGAGTCATGGAATTGGTAATTACCCAAGTACTATAGGACTGGGTCTTCTTTTTGAACTGAACCGGACTTGATTTTAACATTCAGCATGACATTTTACTGATCAACTCATTAATATTCAAAGTTTTTTTTCTTGATTTGAATATTTTAAATTTAAATGATAGTTTTTTATTATAAGTTTAATAGTTTAATTGCGTAGACCTACATCCCTGTAATACTTTGTTGAATATCGGCCGTAATACCTTGTAAAAAAATTATGGAACCGTAAATTTACAAAGCATCAAGATGAAACATATATTACGAAGGTTTACGGTATAATACTTCATAAGTAAAGTGTATTAACTGTAAGGATTGGGAATCGGTACGGTACGACCGGTACGGTACGTAGATCAGTATATTTTCGTGAAATTTGAACCGTACCGGTAGTATATATAGAGCTTTTATTATAGGACCAGTACGGTACGGTACGGTATAATCTTTCGTAATAGATGTTGATAACACGGTGAATTATTATAAAGTTTGTAATCTTTTAAATTAAAATTTTTTAGGAAATGTGAAAATTTTATATCACGTGAGCATTTCCGTTTGTCACGCCGCGTGTACGATAAGATCAGTAAATAAAAAAAATAATAAAAATAAAAAAATAATAAAAATAAAAAAATAAAAAAAAACAAAAATATAATAATAAAAAAAAAATTAATTTATTTATATTTATTGATTTAAATAAAAAATTTCGCTCCGGACATAAATGGTTTCCATTTCCTAGTTATAATTATCTTTTAATTAATTTTATTAAATTTATTTTGACAAACTACCGTTGAATTAAAAAATTACTTTTTTCAGAAATATAAATTTTAAAAATTCTAATAATGATGTAGTACGAATAAAACGAATTTTCTAAAGTTCGTACCGTACAATACATAACATTTTTAAGAATTTTTATAAATTTTTTATATTGAATTTGATTTTTTTTAATAAACAAATACATTGCCTTTTAAAAAATAGATTTTATTTAAATAAAATTTAATTTATTAGAATTATTATATTATAGAAATTTAAAAACTAATCTTATCAATTTATGATAATAAATTTATATAAAAATATTTTTAATATTTAAAATTTTATTAAATAAGAAATTTAATATAGATTATTATATAATATACAATAAATATTATTAATAAGATATTAAAATTTTTATAAGTTATTTTTAAGATTTTAATTTTAAAATAAATATAAGATTATAATTTAGTATTTATAATTAACTTATTTTAGACCTTTAAAGATAATCAATTAGTAATTACTTATATTTATATTTTTCTTTTTGACTTATTTTTTGTATAAGTATTAATAAATAATATAAAGTAATAATATTATTTAATAAATATTTAAAAATTAAATATTAATTTTTTTAATTAAAATATTATTTATTAAAAGTAATATAATATATAATATTTTATAGATATTTACTTAAAATAACAGATAGTGATTATCAATGATATCATGTGATTTAATTTATTATAATTTTTATATAAATTTATAATATAATATATTGTTTTATAACAGTGTACGAAAAAATAATTATAATAATATTTTATTTATTATATAATAAAAATGAATAAAAAATGCATGAAAATTTAAACATATATTCTTTATTGTTCTGCGAAAAAGTTTATCTAAGCTTAATCAATAGTTTATCTTATTACCATTATCCTTAATTACTTGCTCTAATCTTAATAGTATACTTTTAATTAAATTAGTAAAAATTTTTGTTCGATTCCCTCCTACTCTTTTTGAATTGTATCAAGAAAAACGTTTTCTCTACACATGTCTTCAAAATTTGTCATAAGTTCTCGATAGGATTGAGGTCTGGACTGTTTGAAGACCATTTCAACTGCTTTGGATAACATTCTAAAAGAAGTTTCTTAGTTTTCTTAACTAAATGCTTTAGATCATTATCCTATTAGAATACTCAACATCTTCTTATAATTGAATTTGCATTATCAAAAAGATTCTCAATAAGAATTTCATGATAAAATACATCATCTATAATTCAGTAAAAAGAAAAAATCCAATTCATCCTTTTACTGAAAAAGCATCTATGCATGAATTTTATATGAATGTTTGACCATAGATTTTTGTAGAGGTTGTGTACCAGCTTTATAAAATACTTTTTGAGTATTTTAAAACATCTGAAATGTGGTTTCATCCAAAAAATAACTTAGTTCTAATTTTAGTTTTGATACTTCATGACGAATTCAATATAACATTATTTATGAAGAGCAGTGAGCAGAGGTATGAATTTTGGAACTGTACTAATATAATTAAGACTGTGAAGTTTATTAAATACAGTTATTTTACTTATATTGAGGTTGGTATACTTCTCATTTAAAATATTTACCAGTTCGATACATATAGAAAATTTGTTTGTTAAAACAAGTTTTTCAAGGTGACGACATTTTTTAAGAAAATCTTTTTGGCTTTCCTGGTCAAAATAAAAGTTCTAAGAAAATATTTTTTTTGGCTCTATAATAAAGCTTTTCTATCTACCCGAAGTAATTTGCATCAAAGTTTATATCTAAATTTTGTCATTATTTACATGTGATATATAAACTTATGATTTCAATATATTTGACAATACCAGAAACTCAATTATTTGATTGAAAAATTTTCTGCAGAAATTTGATTAGATAATTAATTAATTACAAATAAAAGTTAGATTCAAAATTCGTAATGAACTCAAAATAATATTCACATAATTTATTAAGTTTTATTTAGAAATTCAACTTTAAGGGCAAGTTGGTGATTATTAGAAAATAAAATTCAATTTCAACCTCAAAAATATCCATTTATATATATTATATATATGATCATAAATACGTTCAATTGATTTCACGAATGTTTTACAGATAAATCGTTTATAAATTAAAAATTATTAGATATAATTTTGTATTTTAAGTTTATATAGTATTGACTTGGTAACCGTAAAAGAAACAATGTAGTTTAATTTATCCGTCAAATTAAATACAATACTTTAATTACAATCACGCCTTTAAGAAGACACGGAAATGATAATAACAAATTAATTATAATCTTAAGGAAATGTACAGGTTATAAAATTTAGTTTACTAATAATTAAATAACATTGTCAATTTAATCACATTATTTCCGCAGTTATTTACTATGGCTTTGATTCAACCGTCAATGTAATTATTAAGAAAAAATAAATATAAATAATTCAATATTTGATGATTCTTTTAAAAGAACACACAGTACATTATGTACGTGTTAAATAAACAGTTTGTCGCAATCGAATTACAATTCGCATTAGATATCAAATTCTAATGCTTTTGTTTTATAAGTTTCATTTTTGAAAAATTTAATTTTCTTATTATTTTTGTCTACAAAAATAAAAAAAGATGTACTTGAATAATTAACGTAAATCTTTATATACAAATAATTTAAATTATATAGTATTACCATCTTTATAGTTATTTTCAATTTGATCACTTTTCATACTTTCGTTTACCTTTTTTTAAAAAAAAATATAAAAGTTAATAAAGTTATAAACATATTCAATAATTCATAATTATTAATATTTATTTTTTTTCCTTTCTTTTTTTCTTTTGACTTGTATTTAATTCGAAAGATGAAATTTCTTGTAAAGGCCTCTTATTTTTTTATTTAATAGTTGCAAAGCCTTATTAAAACCATTGGATGACTATACAATTTAAATTAATTGTCAATATAAA